ATTTGAATAATTTAGTGTGTTTGAAGCAGATGAATGTCTGAGCGCTACTCCGCATTGACAAACACGCCCACAAACTTGTGATCAATCACACAACACTTTGTGGATACTCCTGTAAGAAAACGTTTGGCCCAGGCCTTGTGTTGAGAAGGAGTGGGCCAAGCTGCTCTGAGAACAAAACGACGTGATATTTGTCAATGAGAGATGATTTTTCAGTTTCAGAGTAAATATGCAGGGCCCTTAACCCACAAGTTCTCAAGCATTGAGGCCTGTGTATATCAGTAAATGATTACCTAACTCCCTCATTGCACTATTGTTTAAAAAAAATTTTTTCAACAGTATAACAAAACTTTGAAAATTTTGTTATGGTTTTGATGTGCCACCCCAGATTTTTTTACTGGTCACATTTGGCCCCCTTTAGTAAATGTTCTCAAGGTGCCCCTGGTCCCACTTTGTTAATTTGGTAAAGGTAAAACAAAAACATTTTTTTTTTTTTTAAAGGAAAAACATCAGCTTTTTAAAAATCCCAACACTCACCACAATCATAAAGAAGTATGTAACTGTGTATTTGCTGAGGTTTACACAACTGAGTTTAATTTTCCTGTTATTATTTTATGTTCCTAATGTCCCTGGGGTGAACAGGTGATGCTAAATCAATAATACAAATGATGATTTTTTTTGTGTGTTGTTTCTGTCAAAAACTAAGGGATGTCTTGTTGCGTAAGTGTCTGTGAACAGGCTTCTACTGAACAATCCAAAAATTAACAATTCTGTTTATGCCTGCAGGCAATTTATGCAATATTCAATTCAGTTATTGACAAAAAGGCACACATAATTTATGTTTCAGAGTGGACACTCAGAATTAGCAAGAGGATGGATCGCTGGAGAGGTGTTCCATGTTTCTAAGGCACCTGATAGAGAAAGAGCCCCATCTGCAGGATTTAGTCATGACTGGAACAAACACCAACCCCTGTCAGTGAACTTCCTCTGCATCTCTTTGTCTACGTAAAGCCTAATGAGCCTCCTGAGAGCATGCGCAGGTGAACTCGCTGGAAGAGGAAACTACCTGTGTCTGCCATAACAATGCTGCATGCTTCGGTTTTTTTTTTTTTTCTTCTACTTACAAAAAAAAACTGTATCTGCAGATTTTGGTCAGAGGAGTGCAGTACTTTGTCCAGGAAAAAGGGGTGTCCTCTTTCACAGAGTTGACTTAGTGAAGAGTAATTTTGAAGCAGTCAGCATGAAATCAGCGTTTCTGGGTTCTCCTTTAACTAGAACAGAAACACACAGGTACCCTGGGGAGAAGAAGGTAAGAAATTAAATACACAAAAGCGCATTCCCACTTACATCCGGGTCATGAACTGTAACTTCTTCCTATGTGCATGGACTCTAGGCTCAAATATCACTGAGTCCAGCCAGGGAGGAAGACCTTTGCAGAACAAAGGGAACGCCTGATGACAACGAGCTTGCTGGTGACACTCTGCTTTTTCCCCGAGCTACAAAGGGATGACCTGCCTTTGCCAGCTTGTTCAAATTGTTTCCCTCCTTTGAGTTATTTTAAGGTTTGAGAATGACATCAAAGCCAAAAACAGAGAAACAGGCGGACGGAGGCGGGGGGTCGTTTTATTGAAGTGTGGAGGGATGAAAAGGAGAGGAGCAAAGTTGCAAAGTTGAGTGGTGTTGAAGAGAGAAACGGGAATAGGAACAGAAGGTCAGATTCAGGAGTTCAGAGGGATTAGGCGAAGTAACCTTCAAAAGGTCGTGCACGTTTCATGCAAAATGACCCTCGTTTTAAGGTCCCTGATGAGTCAACAGGCAGCTTGCATGCCTAAAACATTAAATGAATATAAAGCAGTAAAAGTGTACAGTCCTAAAGTACTAGCTGAGAAATGCTCATAATGATGTGATTCGCTTGCTTTAGCCAGCTCCTCAGATCTCTGCGGTGCTTTTGTGTCCAAAAGAGCTGGCAACAGTGCAGAGGTATGAGACAGATGTGTGTGTCAGTCATTACTGTAATCGCTCCATTTACTTCATCTACCCTGGGAGGGATGGTTGGTCAGCGCCATCTGGATACGCACGCACACGCAGACACACACAAACACTCACACTCAACCCAAACATGGCAATTGCCAGTTTCTTGGGTAGTCATCCAGAAAAGTGTTGAAATGATCTGTGTTTGTGTGTCCATGATGGAACCACTTTGTCCTCATGTCTTTCTTTCCCTTCTTTTTCATTCACATATTTGTCTCCACGTTTAACGGTCTTCAAATATGTTTTTGAATTTGCTAATCCTGGAAGACTGCAAGACAAAGTGAGAAAGTTTGAGGCAAGTAGCTCCAACCACATAGACTTGTTTTTGACTCCCTACGCCTGAGAAGATGATAGCCGTCGCTGTTTGTGTTTGTGGCTGAAAGATGAAAAAGACTATTGGCTCATCGAAATGCAATTTCCTCTTTTCTGAGGACAGGAAAATGGTGATGAGGACGGGAGGAGAGGAGTGGTCGAGGAGCGAGCTGGCGAGAGCGCCAGGCTCCTGACGCTCAGGACTCAAGAACGGCAGCTTGATTGTCAAGCGACACGTAGTCATGGCAACGACAAATGGAGAGAGTAGAGAGAAAGAGAGGTGGAGGGGGAAAAACACTGAGGGAGATGTTTCAGGATAAAACTACATTTCATGGAGGCTAAGGATGGTTTAGTAAGTGCTTTGCCATGCTACATTGGAGAAGAATATTACATTCACTTCCTGGTGATATTTCACTCCCAGTCAAGAGCTGGCAGATTAAAAACTGCCTGAGGATACATTTTTTCATGTACCCTCACTCATCCCACGTGGGTTACTCAGCAATGTTCAGTAATACACTTAAATATGTATCACCAAGTGAATATCTCCATTCTGCTGTTGTTCTGCTCTTCATCACTTCATCCTCTCTGTCATTTGTATTCAGCGAGCTTCTCAGCTCAGCTCATGCTCCACACCCCACCAGCTATTCACCCCCCCCCCCCCCCACCCCCCATTGTTCTGAGATCTCTTTTTCTAGCCACCATCCCTGCAGAGCAGAGCTGACATTGGGCATGAGGTCAGAGAGATGGGCAGCCATGCTCCTTCTGTCAGCCAGCTCAAATGGGCTTAGCTACAGCCTGAGGAGACACCCAAGGGACACCCCCACCCTCAGTAGCCTCAGGCTTTGGATGGGCATACAAACGCAAGAGCCACACAATCAATCAGACACTTTGGCAGGTACGTAATAACACATGCACACTTTATTATAAAGTGATGCACTCCCTCAGTTGTAGCTTTATGATTCCTTCTCACAAACACACGCACGTGCACTTTCTGACAATGAGACGTGCATTTGTGGGATTTAGGAAGGACAGACTCATTTGGAGAACGGCCACGGACCATTGGCTGGTGTGGTCAGTGTTGTGAACAAATGATTTATTCAATGATGATGAATAATGAGCATTTATACTTAAAAAAAAAAAAAACATGTATTAAGCGCATGCACAGTAAAAAAAAATAAAGACATCAATCGCATCGAATGTTGTAAATAAACAAAGATATATTTGCGCACAAGCACACCACTCTCTGGATAAATAAACACTTTTCTTTGCCATTAAACATTTAAGTTTTCAATAGAGCCTCTGCTGAAAAGCTACCGTCCATTAGAGGATAATACTGTTTTATATTGATTTTCCCTAAATATGGATCAAATGGATGACTATAAGGTTAGCGATGCACTTAAATGTCAGACATCTCAGAAAAGCCCAGGCTTCTGCTGCAACTCTATTTGGAATTGGGATACGATTATGTCTGTGCATTAATGTTAAAGTCAAAAGGCGCTGGATCTTTAAAAAGGGTAATCATTGCCGTGGTATTTCTGGTAACACAGTTAGAGAAATGTTCCATTTTTCCATGTTTTTACATAAATGGCATAACATTTGTAATAGGATGTCATGGTTAGGGTCACTTTGGATTACAGTGGACACTGTCTGCTTGGGAGCGCTGTACCAACCTGCCCCCTGGTGGTGATGATACGCATTGCATGAATTTATGGAAGAGGAGAAGCTCATTTCCGCATTCTCTTAGAGAATCTCTTTTCAAATAATAAATATGTTTACCCAGATGGAAAAGAAAATAATAACCTTGTTTACTTCCTACATGCAAACACCAATCCATTCTGACCACTAACAAAGTATGTAACAGTGAATGAGTGATATAACACTTGTTGATAAAAAAAACTGCACCTATAGATGTTACTTTTGTCATGTGCTACCCATTTAAAGCAAACCAGCTCATTCATAACCCATGTAGACCAACAGCACTACCCTATAGAAGGAGCTTCCCCTTAAAATGACAAACAAGTGGTCAAAGAAGACAGCTAAGACTGAGGTGTTTTCTCAGTCTCCAAACTCTCCAGATGTTGAGGACTGATGGTAGTAGAGAAAAGCAAACCCATCTCATTGACAGGGCTTCACTCCTCAAGAGACCTTCAGATGTTTATGCCCATGATTGCTCAAAGATATTTTTCCTATAATGCTTTTCCTACAATTTGATCAATCTTGTTCTCATGAGACATCACTGAAAACCTGAGTGTGCATACTTTCAGGTGTGATATCCTTACATGTCCTCGGGGACTCACTGTTGTTTGATCACCTCTGAGGGTTCGGGTTACCTGGATAGGGTTTCAGGCTTTACAGGCTCCACAAATACACACCACCACTGAGGGTAATGAAGTCTGTCCATGCATACTGCCACAGTGACATCAGCACCTGTCTATCAAGGTGTGTACAAATCCAGCTGATCAGAGGAAAAAGGAGAAACTAAGTTTGGACCTTTGCTGTACAATAATTTTTGTGGATATATCCAATTATAGCATCAGATATTTCCCTGCAGGATTGAAGCGTCTGCTATCTTACTCTTCTCGGGTTTCACATTCCTCCAAACACAGAGTCTCGAGCGAGAAGCCTTCTGTTTTCATTTTCTTCCCACCAGCTGAGTCTTCATGGCTGAGCCAACGGGCATCAGAAGTAACAGTGGGCGTATGAGCAGTGGAGGGGCCGGGGGAGTGCGCGTCCCCCAGGATCCCTCTGTCAAAGCCGGGGTGGTGCTGTCGGATGAAAGAGTGGACTTCCTTCGGGAGCAGGCCTTCTGTGTGCTGCGTGTGAAGACGGATAAGTGGAACCGTTTTATTGCTGCAGATGAGAATCAAAAGATTATACTGGATTTTCTGGACCACATCTTTAGCAGCAGGCTGCTGCTCTTCACTGGTCCTGGAGGGACCCTGCATGCAGGGGACTCTCAGGTAAGACGTGCACCCAAGCTAAAGACAAGTAAACTCAGGCATAAAGAAATGTGCATCAACAGGACAAATCTTTGCTTCTGTAAATCTTTGTATTTCCTCCGTTTGAGTCAATTTAGAATGCAAATCAAACTGATTACAACTTAAGTAAACGTTTAAGAGATGCGAAAAAATAACTTTACTAATCTATTAAAAATGGCATGTTTTATAGATTTTCACACACAAATGAAACCCAAACCAACACACTATAAAAAGAAATAAAGCATTTTGCACATATATGCATATATGTTTACGTATATGTATATGTACACACATATATATGTATATATGCATACTTATATGTATAAATACTGTATATGGATATATAGATACATATATAGATATGTATATGTAAATATGCATATATGTATGTGTACAGTATATGTACATGTTTATTTACATGTATGTATATGCATGTATATGTATATGTATGTACATGTGTATGTATATATATATATATATTTATGTATTTATCTATACTATATGTGTATGTATATATATATATGCATACTGTATGTATGTATACTATATGTGTATGTATATATATGCATACTGTGTGTATGTATACATACGTGTGTATATGTATACATATGTATATATATGTATACTATATGTATATATGGACATGGTTATGGATATACATATGTATATATGCATGTAAATGTATATGCATATATGTATGTATATTTAAGTATATGTATACTGCATGTATATGTATATGCATATGTTCATATATGTACGTTTAAGTACATATATGGATATGGATATATATATGTATGTATATGCATTTGTATATATATATATATATATATACTGTATGTATATGAACAATATTTGTACATATATATATATATATATATACGTGTATGCATATGTATATGTAAATGCAGTAAAGGTTTATGTCTCTTTAGTTTGCTGTTTTTTTATTTATTTAATCTAACCAACACATTTTTTGAAATAAGTCGTTACTTATTTCTGGAGCTTTCAATACTTTTGAAAGCGTTCCTACTGTTTTTGCACCTGTGAAGTCTTCTCCACCATGGAAGACGAAGCTCCTCTGTGTGCTAAAGAGAGGCGTCAAGAGAATTTCCCGCCAAGACTTCAGACACCAACTGAGGCTGGGAGAAATACCTGGATACCCAATAGAACACCTCCCTGTTGTCATCTCTGAGGTTGGACAAATGTGTGTGTGTGGGGGGGGGGGGGGGGGGGTGTGAAACACAATATATGTCCACACACATCCATGTGTTTGTACAGGTTCTGGTGTGTGTGCTGTCCAACGGGCTGAACCATGAGGACTGGCCACAGGTGGTTTCTGATGACATCCATCAACACCTGGAGAGGCTGCGGAGCAAAGTGGTGACTCTGAGAGGCCGAGCTGAAGGAAGAACTCTGCTACCCCTGCCCCTGTGTGTGGAGCGGGCCCAGCCTCAAGATATTGTTTTCAGGTTAGGGTGAACATGTAAAGCGATACAGAGTACTTCTGAGTGGTGTCATCATCTTTTTTTTTTTTTTTTTTTTTTTTTTACTTTTTGTTGCTTTTTACAAAATCACCACATGCAGATAATTTCCTTTGTTGTTTTTTTGCAGAATTAGAATAGAAAGGAAGGTAACATGTTAGTTTAGAGTTACTGAGGGATTCAAACTAATTAAAAAGATTTATAACTCTACTATGATGACATTCAGCTCACTGAGAACTTTTTCTTTTTCAATTTGGAGTTTTTTGCTTGAAGTACTTTCATGTTCCACAGCTCGCACGGCTGCTATTTTTATCCTCTCTGATTGCCTCACTGTCTGTTCCCCCCTGCAGCACAGATGGATGGCCACTGGACCATGGCTTGTTATACTCTATAGAAACTTTGATAGTTCAGTGGTCTGGACAGATCTGGAATGTGCTGAAGAAAGACTCAGGCATGCTCCTGCTACAGGGGGACCACCCAGGCCCCAACGTAGAGCTCCAGTTCTGGGCCAGTCAGAGGGAAAACCTGCTGGGCATCCAGGCGCAAGTACGACATTAGTTCTGTGGAAGTTAGCAGGGGAGCATTTAATTTCATGTTAAATTTACTCCGAACTATAAATCCAAACAGTCAGAAAAAAAAAATTCTATGCAAGGGACCCCTGGTATTTTTTGTCTTTTTTTTTTTTTAAGTACAGTCCATCTGTTTGTTTGGTGTACTTATACAGTACTTTCAATCTTTAGCTCAGTCTAAGTTCTGTATACTTTGTGCTATTGTAGCCCTTCATACATAAAAATGTACATTTCAGTTCAGGAAATGGGTGTTTTTTTTAATTATTGACCATAATTTAACAGGCAGATCCCACTGAGATGACAGAGCTCTTTTGCAAGGGAGGTCTGGGTCTGAAAGCAGCCTAACACGCATATTTTGACATGCTAACATACAATGATTTTTTTATTTTATTGTACTTTTATGGGTTTAAAAAAGAACTTGTTTTTTAACAAATATTTTCCTCAAAGAAAAACATATTAAGATTTCTTAAGTTCCTTGAAAAACATTGCTTTCTTTGCATACTTGCTCTCTTCTTGATTTCCTCTGCAAATTTTAGTTTTTAGCTATCATTCTGTTACTTTTAGCTTTTAGCAAGCCTTTAGCCACATTTAGCTTTTATGAAGGCTTTTGCTACTTTTTGCATCTGGTACTTTTAGCTTTTAGGTAGTGTGTTGCTCCTTAATCAGCCTGTTCTCATCATTAGCCAAGAATCAGCATCTTAATCCTCACTGAGTATCTGTCAATATTGTAAACATCAGCTGATGACCCAGAATTATCAAGTTGCTTACTGATGTGCTGTTGTGTTTTGGAGGGGAAATAAATCTTTACTTTTATGTTTTGTACATTTAAATTGCAATGTTTAAAATGGGTAAAATTGCCATTAAATATTTTTCAATTTATGCACAAACAGCACAATGAAGAAATTCAACAAAGTTTTAGAATACTTTAAAAGTTCAAGTTAAATTTCAAAATGCAGAGTTTGTTGTTTTCCTGGCAGTAAATGCTAAACAAATAACACTTGGCTGGGAAATTTATTAATTTAATATCAGTATAAATAAATCAGCTCAAATTACCCATAGTAAGGTTGAGAACTGAGAGGTCCTGTATAATGTGTGAAGTCCTGTTTTTAGATCCAGAGCTCCAAAGTGGAGCGGATCATGGAGATCCTGAGAAGAGTGAAGAGCAGTTACTACGCTGCCTTTAAGGACGTCTGCATCAAAGTCAACGAGGGTAGATCTTCATTTCCTGACTCTGTTATCTACTCACTCCCATTATTTTTACACAAGACGTAAATGAAACGGACATTGTCTGAATATCAAAGTTCATGCTCAATAATCCAGATAAAAATCCAACAATGTTCAGTCAGGTCATCTGGATGGTTCCTTTTTTATTTTTTGAGACATTTCGTCCTTCATCCAAAAGACTTCATTAGTCCGAGGAGCCACAACAATCAGTCCCACAAGCAGCACACTCACATAGTGGGCCAACCAGTTTGATGGTGACAAGATGGATTCTGGAGTTCGCCGTCTCCCCCGTCGACTCCTCTGAGGCAGCCATAGCTGACTGAGTTTGGTGTGGGTTGTCGGACTGATTAAGTTCTTTGGATGAAGGACAAAACATCTCAGCAAAAAGGAAACAATTCAGATGACCTCATTAAACTTTGTTGGATTTATTACCTGGATTACTGAACATGAACTTTGACATTTTGAACCACTTTGGCCATGGAGGAGTCAACGGAGGAAAGGGCGAGTCCCATAAACCATCTTATCACCATCAAACTGGTTGGCCCCCTATGTGAGTGTGCTGCTTGTGGGACTGAGTTTGTTGTGGCTCCTCAGACTGATGAAGTGCTATGGATGAAGGACGAAACGTCTCAACAACAAAAAATAAAAAAGAAACCTTCCAGAGAACCTGACTGAACTTTGTTGGATTGGCTGAATACTTGAAACACTCAGTTACACATGTAAACACATTTCCCCCTTGGCACATTTCTTTTTTTTTTTTTACTTTATAGACAAAAACAATTTAGTTTTTTATGTCAAGCTCACAATATGCATGGTTTCTTCAAATAAAATGGATCAAAGAAGTCAGCTCTGTCCCCCACCCCCTGTCGTGTTTCTGTAAACCACTGATCCTTCTGGATGGGTTTCTTACAGCTGTGCTGGAAGCAGAGGACATAGATCTGTATTTGCGTCCTCTGAGGAGACAGATCGCCAACTTAGAGGAGCGAGGTTTCCCCCTGATGGAAAGTCTGCTGCCGCCTCTTTTGCACACACTTTGCCTCATCTGGAGTCACTCCAAGTACTACTGCACTTCACAGCGAATGGTGGTTCTCCTGCGGGAGTTCAGTAACCTGATCATTGAAAAGGTACACACATGAATATCTGTGTATGTATAAAGAGGAGAAGTAACACAACTAAAACGTGCAATTTTTTTTAATGGCCGCGCATCTTCAGGCTATTGCGTACCTCATCCCTGAAGAACTGTTTAAAATGGAGCTTGAGGAGGGGATGGAGAGAGTGCAGATCAGCGTTTCAGTTCTGCGTACCTTCAGGAACCTGTTTTACACCTACCGTCTGCAGATACCTAATTACTACAAACCCCACCAGGAAATAAAGTTGTGGGACTTCCCAGAAACGCTTGTCTTTAAACGTTCGGACTGCATCATGGAAAGACTTCTCATGATTGAGGTGAGTATTTGAAAGCAACTCATTCTGCAGACACAAACACACAAATTCATTCAACCTTTATTTATGCAGGTTAGTCTCACTGAGTCACGAGGATTCATTTACAAGAGAGGCCTGATTTAAACATGAAAACACAGATGGGGTACACACAACAATAAACAGTCATCAAAAGCATATAAAATGAAAAGTAAATAAAAGTAGTTATATAAAACAAAAGAAAAAATAAGATACATTGTAAAATGGGGTAAAATATTAAAACAGGAACGTCTGCGTTGATTTTTGCCATGAACTTAACAATTGTTTAAAGTCCCTTGGAAAGGCCAAAGTCGACAGCTTCAGATCTTTTTGCAAGGTGTTCCAGGTTGCAGGAGCAGAGTAAGAGAAGGCCTTTTGTCAAATTCAGTTCACACTGAGGGGACACTGCAGGTAATGATGTCTTGAGAGTGCACGCTGTAGCTGCACTGACGACATGACATGTAGGAGGAGATGTATGAAGGCAGCAGACCAAGAAGTTCTTTAAAGATGAAAATGCACCAGTGTGAAAGTCTGCGTGAAGTTAATGATGACCAATTGACTAATTGATACTGAGTTCAGTGATGGAAACAATAGTTACAGCTAGTTCTGAATCTTAGCGCACCGTGGTAAACAAACAAACAAACCAACAAACTCAACAGGAACACCATTTGTAGATAAGATATAAGGAAGGACTGCTGGAACCGACTTCCTGTTTGAAAACAACATCCCTTTGGTTTTTATCAGGATTTAGCACCAGTTTGAGACGGAACAGATCTGACTGGATGATGTCGAACACAGACTGTAGCTGGAAAACTGTAGCAACTGATTTAGCTCAACAGTAAATAACTGTGTCGTCTGCATATAAATGTAAGGATGTGCCAGGAATGGTCTGACCTACATTACTTATATAGATTGTAAAGAGGGTGGGTCCTAAGACTGAGCCTTGTAGTACACCATTGTCGACAGTTAAATAACTGGAAGAAGTACCATTATGTTGAACACATTGTCTCTGATCTGAGATGTAATTGGAAAACCAACTGATATTGTGATCTGAAACCAATGTGTGAGAGCTTACATGAGCCACACACATGGGCAACAACGTTATCACCCTTTTGCCTTTGATGGTGGGCCATAAAGACAGCAGAACAAATCCAACTGGCATTTTTGTCATCCATTTATAAAGCAAGATGTCTTATGAACATTTGGTTGTGTGCCTGATTTGTGCAATCTTTTCAGTCTTGTCTACAAAGTTTGTCTCCTCTCCCACATGTAGGAACTCTTTGCAACAGCACTGGATTTTCTGAAGCTGGAGAAGGTTGAACTGGGTGGATCAAGAGGAAAAATCCTCAGCGAGATGGTCTTCAGCATGAGCGAGGAGTTTCATGACTGCTGGCGGACCCTGAGAGAGAGCAAATATGATCCTTTAGACTATTCTAATGATGTGAGACGCTCTAAGACTGCTGCTGTTGTCTTTGATGTTACACTACAGTTTATTATTTTAGGCCCCAAAGGGCTGTAAGTCAAAGTGATTTATAAGTAGCATCAACAGGCACAGCCCAAAAAATCAAAAATAACAATTAGATGTTATTTTTCTGCCCAGCCGTGCAGTAATTGAAAGGTAGTAAAGCCAAGAGGTTGCTAAGCAACGCACAAGAAGCAGTGACTGGAGCCATTATTGCTCAGCGCATCAATATTTAATTTACTAGATGTAAATTTTATTTTACAACAGCTTCCAGTGTGAGTCAGAAAAGAAACTCAATCTTAAATTGATTTGTGTCATAATGTATTTTCCTCAAGTGTTTGTGTTGTTTCAGCCAAAACTGATTAACTGAGCTAAGGAGACGTTAAATGGCTGCACTGAAAATTTAATGAAAGGGAAATTGCACGTAAATAGAGTCAAGATCGAAGCTTTTCAATCACTCAGAGAAAGTAAAAAAACAACAAAAAAAAATCCATCTTCTCTTCTCCGTTTCTTTCCAGGACTTTGTGCACCACTTCAAACGTTTTGTGGAGCAGTACAGAGATTTTGACGAAAGGTTGGGGACTGTTCTAAATATGGCTTTTCACCACTCACAAAACTTAAATTCAGCCTTTAAGGTAAAATACCTGCAAGCATTTTGTAAAAAATTAAATTAAATTAAAAAATAAGTAGACGTTCATCATGTTAACCAGATGTAATCAGTCTGTTATTTTTTATATTTAATGAGTCTAAAACATGCACTAACTTTTGTTTCTCGTCTAGTTGTTGAAGATATTTGGATCTCTTCTGGAGAGACCCAGGATTCAGGAGCTGTTTTCTTCAAATTACACTGTGTTGTTGGACATGTTCAACCAGGAAATAAACCACTGTCAGTTAATACTGGATCAGCACCGAGATGGGGTGAGACAGACTGAGATTTAATAGTCTCCCCAACATCTTTCATTATTTCTTAGCTGGACTCATTTAAAAATATTCAAAAAACACAACTATATTAAATTTTTTGCCATCTGACTGAGTGTCCGTGAGTCAAAGTGGAGTAATTTAGAGGTTAAAAGGACATGTGATGACTCCTATACTTGCAATCACCCAGGTAAAAACAAAAAAGTGTCAAGCGATGCTTAGCTAATGAAGCTGTTTATTTCAGCTGCAGTCTGGTTGTACAATCCTTGGAAAAAATGTGCCTCCAGTGTCGGGGAACCTCAGATGGTCTCAGGAGCTTCGGAATCGCATCCTCACTAACAGGAGCAACTTCTGCCAGCTGGCTCATGCGTACGAAACAGCTCTGTTCGACAAACGCAAATGCACACAAACAAAACTTTACATTGATCACTGGGAACAAGTTAAGTTAATAATATAGTGTTGTACAGGATAGAGATGGCTTTTTCAGTCTGTTTCTTCTTCCAGGCCTCTGGGGTGTGCTGAGGCAGACGATGTGCTCAGGAAGTGTGAACGTGTTCTGGAGATTTTGGAAAAGCAAGATGAGGACCTGTTCGCTGAGTGGACAGAGGGACTGGAGGAAATCTGCCGAACGCATCTCAAAGAGCCACTGTTGACGCTGGACACTGACACAGGCCTCTTCCAGGTCAACTTCAGTCCAGCTGTAAGCACCTTAACTCTAAATGTCATGGCTTAAAAACTGCTCTGCCCATTAAATTGTGTATTATTTTGGAGGGTTGTTTGCCTTTTACATTTTACCAGTCTTGTTTGCAAATGAGGTCCACCGAGAGCTTTGCGCTCAGGCCGCCCTCCACTGTCTGTTCAGTGCTTCTGATTCTTTCTGTGTCTACAACTAATAACCTGCATGTAAGGTGTTTGGGGAAGCTTTATAAATTGTTCCGACCGAAAAACAAAACATTAGAGTTCACTAATAATCACCAAGGACAAAATCAGAGCTATGATCCAACAATAATCAAGTTTTATCAGATGATATTAAAAGTTACACTTTCTTCCACTGTTGTTTGTCCCCAGCTAACATCTGTGCTGAGGGAGGTCAAATATCTGGGCGCGCTGAAGAACCAAAACATTCCTAAAGCTGCTCTGCATCTTTACTCCAAACAAGAGAGACTTTGCATGGTGGGTAGATATATTGTGCAGTTCTACTTGTGAGACTGAAGGTTATGATGACATAATTGTATGTTTAGTACTGCACTCGGTCCTGTAGTATACACAGACGCTGACCTTGGTGACCCAACAGTACAACAAGCTCCACAGTACCATCCTGGCTGTGGAGCTGGGGCTGGTGAGAGACGAGCTGGACAGGGTGAGACAACAGATCAGTCCAGCCCTCCTGGAGTTGACCTGGGCTCAGGATGACATTTGGGACTACATTCAGAGTACGCAAGAACTGGTCAAGGTACTAGCGGAGAATCATTTTGACACATGATGGCTTTTTTCTGTTTGTATTTTTTTTTTAAAGAAAGAAAAATGTGTCTGCTTAGCATAAAATCTGGTGCACATTTTATATTATTCAAGCCAAGTTTTCCTGAAACAAGGCTTGGAGTACAAGTGAGTGGTCAAAGGCAAAACAAAAAGCACATTTACACATATAAAGAACAAAATGCAGTGCTGGACCACAGAGAAACATTCACATGGACGACAAAGTCCATGCTTAATAATCCAGGTATACAATCCAACATTTTTCAGTCAGGTCATCTGGACAGTTTCTTTTTTTATGCTGAAACGTTTCGCCTTCGATCCGGAAGACTTCATCAGTCAAGGAAACACAACAAAACTGATTCTTCCCCCAACAGCTTACTCCAAAGTGGAACAAACCAGTTATGTTGGTGCTAAAATGGTCTCTTTTTCATGCCCCCTCCTCCATTACCGGCCCTCTTCCTTGTTGACAGTCATTGTTGACAGTCATTGTTGTTTTCAACCAGTTTGACATGACTGTCAACAAAGAAGAGGGCCGGCAATGGAGGAGGGGGCATGACAAAGAGACCATCTTATCACAAACAAAACTGGTTTGTTCCACTTTGGAGTAAGCTGTTGGGGCAAGAATCAGTTTTGTGTTTCCTTGACTGATGAAGCCTTCCGGATCGAAGGCGAAACGTTTCAGCACAAAAAAAAAAAGAAACTGTCCAGATGACCTGACTGAAAAATGTTGTATTCACATAGACGGTCTACAAAATGGCCCCAAGAGTCCTGAAGCACACTTTCTCCAGAACTGGCCATGCCTTCAACAAGTGGTTGTCATAACTAAGGGGAAAATCCCTATCCACCTTATTCCTAGGCCCCATGGTGCCTTGCATGAACTGTAGGCACGATTTCTAATGCGGACCAGAACCAGCATTTGTTTCTCCAAGCATTGTGGATTTAAACATGTAGGAACACCACCTGTCAGAGCTCAAACAGGACAATATAATCATACCGCTGCCTGCTGAGGACGAGGGATGGAGGACGACCTGAAGTGGCTGCAGATGACATATTTAGCTGCTTCATTGGCTCGGTTGCTTCCCACGGTGAAGCAATGAACAACCTGAAAAGCTCTGATGCATATTAGGATCTACACAGTACACAGTAATAAGGTTACTCTCATTTTGTTAAAAGTGGTGGAACACGATCTTATTTACTTTAAAGCAGACATAGAGCCCAGCCAAATCCTTAAAGTTCTCCATCATTGAGCTTGGGTTAATTGCAGAGAAAATCATAATACCAAAGACGAACAAATACTATAACACTGTGCCCATCATACACTTGAAATCATACCTGATATTCCAATCATTCTCAGTTGGGTCATCTGGACAGTTTATTTTTTATAGACTGAGAATTATTGGATTTGGTACCTGGATGATTGAGCATGAACTTTGTTGAATACCTGATATTCTCATCACTGTTTTCAATCTTTCTGAGGGTCTATTGTCTCTTCTCCAGTGGTTTATTGTAGTCCAGCCACAAAGTAAGATGCAGGTTTTCCTCCGTCGGCCGTTTGTCAACAAAGTGAAATGAGCACACATGCAGCGTTTTGGGTGGTCACTTCAAGTTCAGATTTTTCAGCCACATTCTTCTTAATTCCTCATCTGTAGGTAGGTGATGGAAACTATGCCGCTTTTCACAGGAACACTCTTTTTGTTTTGGGTCCGTGTTCAAAACACTGCTGTTGTAACCACCAATTTAGTTTGGTCTGGTTGTTCGTGCAGCCACGAACAGCACAACAGGTACCTGAACTACGCATGGCTATTTTAATCAACTGTACGGTTGTTAAATACATGTGAACAAAACAAAAATAGAGTTTTATCTGCTAAACTCAATGCAAATTACTTTCAAATAAATTTGCCATGTGACCAGCTCAGTCAACTGACCCTTCTGACGTGGCGCTTGTCGTTGAGGTAGGTGTGTAACTAATAAATCCGTCCTACAAGAAACAAGAAACCGGACACATCCTACCCCGAAGAAGGCATTTCATATAACTCTGCCCTGTCTCTCTCTAAAACAACTTAATAAAGAAAAGAAAATGGAAAGACAATAACTACAAAGTAACCATAAAATATAAAAGCATAAAATATAAACAAGATATAACCAAGAAAATATCAAATTACTTCTTTAGTATACTTTACATTTATTAATATTAACTGTTGATTCCTTATTTTGTTTTCTTTTTTCTTTTGCCAGAGCCTTTCCGGTCGAGTTGAGAAGAGTAAAGCTAATGTTGAAGCCATTCAGGCGCTCATGGGCAAATTCAGCAATCAAGCTTTCATCACCAGAAAAGCCCATGACTCTACTCTCCTTAACTTCTCTGAGATCGATGAGAGTGTTTCCAAACAACGTGCTCTCATCAGCAGCACAGGGGAGCAGATACACAAACTACTGCAGGTATCATCACCACCTTACTGTTGAATCTCTGCACAGAAAAGAATAGCAAATGCAAATATCAGAGAAAGTCAACCATTAAAGGAATTGTCTTTGTTTTTTTCCTACTATGATCCAGGAGAACCAGTGTCTCCTGGGTGTGGGAGATGGAGACAGCAGTGAATGGAGGGCTTACAAAGACCATGTGGACAGGATGATTGTCTCCGGCTTCTCTAGCGCTGTCCGCTGCTCCCTGCAGTACTTCATGGACAACACTGACGCAGCTCGCTCTATTACACCGCTGTTTGAAATTAAGCTGGTACTGAACAGCAATGAGGTGACCTTTGACCCTTCACTGGACTTGAACCACGGGAGTAACTTCTATGATATTGTGGATAAAATGGTGGCCAGCATCACAAACATTGCATCCTTTATTCCCAGAGTGGCAACACACACGCAGCTGAATGACTATCAGGTGGTGTGCACCGATTAGATTATATATTCACCGTGTGAATTCCTCAAACACACAAACACCCTTGACATGTGCAATCTTGGTTTCTCATCTTGTAGTGTGACATAAATGAAATGGAGGATTTATCAGAGATGCGTCATGTCATTTGTTCACGGGCGCGTGCGTCTGTTGCTAAGGTTTGTGCCTTTTTTTTCATTCGTTACTGCTCATGTCGAGTTTCTATAAGTGTAAAGATTGTTTTGTTTTCAGGTCAAGGAGTACCAGGCTTCATTTTCCAGCTACCGCTACCTTTGGACTGACGACAGGTCAGATCTGCCTGACTGCTATATTTACTGGGTTAAATTCCTTCTGAGTAAAAAAGTATATTTAAGTGTTTTGACCTTTGATGTCTACTATCTATCTGTTTTAGGTCTGAGTTTATGAGGCAGTTTCTGCTCTATGGTCATGTGTTAAGCACGGAGGAAGCCGAACTTTATGCTGATTATGAGCTGAAAAAGAATCCACCCACCCTGAGCAACTTTAAAGATCAAGTGTGTAGCACTTTTTCTGGCTCACGCCTTTAATTTACGCTATACTTTTTGTGATTTAATTTCCTTATGTTTTTGGCAATCTAAGTACTCTCCTGTGGTATTTTAGCTATTCATATATCAAAATGTTCAGCTCATTAAGGGCATGGGGCTATAGTTGGTTTTTATAACTTTATGCTGTTTGAAAGATCCTTTATTATTACTACGTATCGTGGTGTTTTGCTACTTTTTGCTTTTAACTAACCATTTGCTGCTTTTACTTAACTTTTTATTTATATTAGCTTTGAGATAGCCTTTTGTTAATTTAAGCTTACATCTACCATTCTGAAACATTTTATATTAGTTTAGCTTTACTTTTGTTACATTAAGATTTGAACAAACCTTTTGCTACTTTAGGCATTTAGCATCTTTTCGCAAATCAACAAGTCATCAACTCAGTTTTGACTTCTTCAGCAAATTTTAGCCCTCGTTATTCACCATACCTTTAAACAGAAAATGCAGAGAGCTGTCCTGTTGGATAAAAATATCCTCTATTCATCTTACTTTCTCAAATAAGTCACACTCAACAGGAGAAGATTTCTAATTGGTTTTACTTGCAAGAGCAGACTTTCACAACAGGTTACACAGATGTATAGAAGTTTTACATGCATGGAGCCCAGTCACGAGAATCTTCCACGGGTAGCGTGCGAAAATTGTTTTTATATGTTTATCAGCTCCTGGCTCACAGGCAGACTGGTGCTGGCCATCCAGCTGCACATGCAGGATCATCTGAGAGAGAAAAGAACTCTCTGGTATCTCAAACACATGGTTCATGGGCAGTTGCAGCCATAGTATTTAAAAACATCCATAAACCTTGACCAAAATTCCCTCACGTGTTCTGTTAAATCACAGTGAGTGTGTTGTTCCTCCATCCAGATCAATCTCTTTGAGTCTCTTTATGTGCGAGTGAGCAAGATGGAGGACAAGAAGGTGTTTAGCGGCTGGCTGCAGCTGGACATTAGACCCTTCAAGCACACACTGATGAACGTGATCAAGAGGTGGAGCTGGATGTTTAAAGAGCATCTTCTCAACCACGTCAACCTGAGGTTAAACACGCAAATCTACAAGCCGCCGTCGTATTTTTTGACCAAGAAATCTAACTTGAGTTTCTTTTGTTCTCTGCAGTGTGAGGGAATTGGCTTGTTTTCTCGAGGACACAGCCATTGGTCTTTCTACGAAGGTGTCAGATGGGGATTATGCAGGTCTGGTGAGCATAATGGGGCACCTCATGGCCATACGAAATAGACAGATAAGTAATGAGCAGCACTTTAAGCCGCTCAAGTCGACTGCTGAACTCCTCAAATCCTATGGACAGCAACTTCCAGAGAGTGTCTACACACAGCTCGAGGCACGTTAACTGCACACGGACACTCTGCCATTCACAGGAAATGCTTATCGGTGTTGCGTTACCATATGTGCTTCTTTGTCACTGAACACAGGAGCTGCCTGAAAAGTGGAAAAGTCTCAAAAAAATCGCTTTCACTGTCAAACATGAGGTGGCACCTCTGCAGTCTAATGAAGTTTCAGTTATAAGGAGGAAATGCGTTCGCTTTGAGGTGAGGCTGAGGGTGAGCGAGGTCGGATGTCAGGCCTGCAGCCCCCTACATAGAGCTCGATATCTGATACATAAAGCGTCCTATTTCCTTTCCTGCATTATATATGAGTTGCCGTTACCTTTCTTCACTCTTTTTAGGTGAAGCAGCATGAGTTCAGGGAACATTTTCGTGCTGAGTCGATCTTTAGGATCGATGTGGAGAAGCCATACAAACTAATTAATAAGGTGAGCGGTGGAAGAGATTCTTTTACAAACTACAACAGGAAGAAAAAAAACAAAATGATTGCTACTAAAGTTGTCTGAACTGAATGATTAAAGAAAATCAATGGAGCAACACAAGTGTGACAGCAGGCTGAAATGTTGTTCTCCAGTGTAATCGATCAGTGGCAGCGATGGAGATGGAAATGAAGAGGCTGCAGGACACGGCTGCTCTGTTTGAGGTCAGCTTCCCCGAGTACAAACAGCTGCGCCAGTGTCGCTTGGACATCATCCTGGTCAAAGCTGTCTGGGACATGATCATCTTTGTGAGGGTACATACCCAGTAGATCTGGTTTTACTCTCATACAATACAATACAACTTTATTTATAAAACACTTTTAAAACAACACTTTTGGTCCAAGTGCTGTACATGAATACATACAAGCATATAAACCCATAAAATCAGCAGATACCGAAAAAAGTAAGGAAATACCAAAATCATAAAACAGCAAATAGTAAAAACAATAAAACAACTTAAAAAAATCAACAGAGAGGTGATTATATTTCTGTTTGTTTCTCTGTATGTCTGTCTGTTAGCAAAATATTTTATAAATCAGTGAACAGGTTTCACTGTAATTTTGGCCATTAGTGATTGGACTTAACCCTGTATGACTGTTTGCAAAATATCTCATGAAACACTGGAGAGGCGGCACGGTGGTACAGTTGGTAGAGCTGCCGCCTCTCAGTGAGCAGGTTACCCTGGTTCAAATCCTGGCTGGGGACCTTTCTGGGTGGAGTTTGCATGTTCTCTCCGTGCATGTGTTGATTTTCTCTGGGTACTCCGGTTTCCTCCCACACACCAGAAACATGCATGTTAGGCTGATTGGTAACTCTAAATTGTCCGAGTGAGAGAGTGAATGGTTGTTTGTCTCGTTTGTCTCATTATGTGTCCCTGTGATGGACTAGAGACCTGTCCAGGGTGTCCCCCGCCTCTTGCACAGTGATGGCTGGGCATGGGCACCACTGACTCCCACAACCAAAAAAGGAAGAAGCAGGTAAAAATAATGGATGGAAACACTGGAGATATTTTAATAAAAGTCTCAGCAAATACTTATTGGACATATTTCGACAACTGATTAAAGTTTGGGGCCACCCCAACTCAAAATGGCGACCACAGCTAATCAAATTTAGCAACAAAAATGGCTAGAACTGTGGTAATTTTACTGAAATTTAGCTAAAATTTGGTTTGATAGTAGCTAACAGTCATTCACAACACACAGAGCACTACACGTTGATTTTTCCTAAAGCTTTCAACTGTTTCAGTCAACACGACCTGTCTGTTAGCAAAATATCTCAGTGACTACTGGATCGATTTTAATGGAACTTAAAAATGTATATATATTATTTGTACTTGTACAAATGATTGACATTTAGAGGTTTTTGTATTTTTGAAGTGACTACTTTTTCAATAACTGCATGTTGTAAAGAATCATTAAAAAAATAATCTGTAACTCCTAGACGAGCATAAAAGACTGGACCAAGACTCCATGGAATGAGATCAACGTGGAGCAGATGGACATGGAGCTCCGGCGGTTTGCTAAAGTATGAGTTGTATCGTTTTTGCTAATTATGTTTTTTTATGTTTTAAGGGTAGCACATTTTCAACAGCTTTGAGTATTTCTGTTCTGTGCTGCAGGAAATTAAGGTGCTAGATAAGGAAGTGCGAGCGTGGGACGTCTACACTGGTCTGGAATCGACAGTGAAAAACCTGTTGACCTCTTTGAGAGCTGTCAATGAGCTGCAAAACTCTGCCATCAGGGAGAGACACTGGCAGCAGCTGATAAACGCCACAGGGGTATGGAAGTGCATGTGCTGTTTTCTGAATGATTCAAGACGTGATCGCAACCACAGCACGACAAGCGTTTGTTTTGATCCTCAGGTCAGGTTTGTGATGGGGGAGGACACCACACTGGGGGACCTGCTGGAATTACAGCTTCATCGAGTGGAGGATGAGGTCAAAAACATTGTGGACAAAGCTGTGAAAGAAATGGGCATTGAGAAGGTAGGAACCAGTATGTTCCTTTTTCCCTGTTCTCCAGTTTGTTTGTGCAATCATGTTTGGATGGGGTTTTTTTTACAGGTTTTAGCAGAAATAACCCAGACCTGGAACGTTATGGCTTTGTCATATGAGACTCACACAAGCACTGGAACTCCTTTACTAAAAGCTGATGAGAATTTAATTGAAACTCTCGAGGACAACCAAGTGAGTCTGTTCACTGGATTCTTGGCAGCCTATGAGTAACACTTTATTTGTTCAAGAAATAAACAGTACTGTTACATTATCAATCCAGTGTAAAAGTGTTTAAGGCCACTAAGCTTACTCTTTGACATTGACGAAACAAACGATTGCTACTAAAAGAAAAGCTAATTCCAAAGAAATGAAAGATGCTACGGTCATTTTGTGAGATATTAAAATGTCATGTGATGCCCCTGTTTGACTTGTCTTCAGGTGCAGCTGCAGAACATCCTGATGAGTAAGTACGTGGAGTATTTCCAACTAGAAGTGAGTGGATGGCAGAGGAAGCTGATGGTGGCTGACCTGGTCATCTCCTCCTGGATGTGTGTCCAGAGGACGTGGGCCCACCTTAACAGCATCTTCACAAACAGTGATGACATCCGCTGCCAGCTGGCCCATGATGCTGAGCTCTTCCAGGGAATACACACTGACTTTCAGGTAACAGTGTGGGCCAACATAGATATATGTATTTTTACTAAAATAATAACATTTGCCTTCCTTTTATGTAGACACTGATGAGTGAGGTGGTGCAGAACAGTAACGTGGTAGACGTAACCAACACGCCTGGCTTCCAGGAGAGCCTGGAAGCCTTACAGCAGAGGCTGTCTGTGTGTGAGAAGTCCCTGGCTGAGTATCTGGAGACGAAGAGACTCACTTTCCCCAGATTTTATTTTGTTTCTGCCTCAGACCTGTTAGAGATCGTCTCCAAGGGAACACAGCCCAAACAGGTGACAGGAAACAATCATCAGAGCGCATGTATTTGCTGCTACCAGAATGTAGTCCGAGAGAAGTGTTTCTGATGTCTTGTCTTTAAGATAGAAAACCAATGTTGCAAATTAAAATAGATTTAACTATGTGTGTTTATGAAGTTGTTTTCCATTTTTTCTTAGGTGACCAGGCACTTACTGAAGCTGTTTGACAACATAGCAGATCTCCGCTTCAAGGACTTGGACGGGCCTGGAGGAGGGGAGGAGGATGGGGTGGCCGTTGCTATGGGGATGTACAGTCGAGAAGGAGAATATGTTTCTTTCTCTGAACCATGCACTTGTGAAGGACAGGTATTTAAAGCAAATATATATATATACCGTATTTTCTACCATACATGTCGCTCTGCCCTATAAGTCACATCAGTCCATATTTGTCTAATAAAGTGGAAAAACCCATAAAAATGTTGCTTTGCCGTGATATCTTAACAGCCGTATACGTCACAACTATTATGCGTCACCGCTGACGCGTCGCGTTTGTTACGAATCACCGCTGACAACCCGGAAATGTGGGCCATTGTTGTGGCAAATATCAATGGTCTGCCAAATGGCGGCCACGGGATCATGCACGGGAGAACTTTAACAAGAATTTAACAAGATTAACACTTAAAAACAATTATCTGTTTGCTCGAAATCATAGTGAATGTGTGTCTCAGTCTAACGTTTGCTTAATAAATGCACTTTAATGGTGAAATCAGCTGAAGTTCTAAAATAGTTTCACTGCCTCCGTGTCCGGGAGCACACAGAGGGAAGAAATCAGGAAGGAGGAACGCAGCTCGTTTCTTTGAAATTTAACAAGAAAAACACCTAAACAATTATTTGTTTGCTCGAAATTATAGCAAAGGTGTGTCTCAGTCTAACGTTTGCTTAATAAATGTACTTTAATGGTCAAATTAGCTGCATTTCACGGGGCGGTGCAGCTGGTTTGATGATCGGTCCAAGCAGCGAGCAGAACGAAGGTGGGGAGCTATGGCAAGCCGATTGTATTATTAATAACTGGTGAAGATTCTCAGTCATCCAGGACGTGGTAAATTCAAAAAAGTTCAAGAAAAAAAAACAATAAAGTATAATAAATAAAGTTCTGTTGTTTTTGTCTTGAGCTTTTTTGAATTTGTCATTATAGCCACATTTACCTATTTCATGATACAACGGCATGCCTAACTGTACTACTACTCTGTTGCCATCTAGTGATTGAAAGTGGTACTGCCTTTTTTTTTCAATCAGGATGAATGAAAACGTCATATCTCAGACGAAAATGGGTTTATAAATATGGGAAAAAAAATCCTTAAATATGTCACAGGGCATGTAAATTATGCAAAAAACTGCAACTTATAAGGTGGAAAATATGGTTTATATTTTAGTACTTGAGGATTCAAATAAACGTTTTTTTCCTCTCTTTACTTTGTACTTTATCTGTGAAATATGTTTGTAAATTAATTTAATTGCATGCTAGTTTATTTTGTTGACAAGTAAAGTTCTTTTTGTTATGTTTTAACTTTCTAATTTGATCCAACTCTATAATTTTTGTGGTTTTCTTCAGGCTGAGAGTTGGTTGGGTGCCATAGAGCACACCATGCGTTGTACGGTTCAGAAAGAGATACAGGAAGCTGTCGCTGCCTACGAAGACAAACCACGAGACCAGTGGCTCTTTGATTACCCTGCACAGGTTTAATCATGCATAGGCTTAAATTAATGTATGAATCAAAAAAGTACCACACACTTTATCTTGTGTGCTTTTGTCTTAAGGTATCATTGACTGGCAGTCAGGTGTGGTGGGCCACAGATGTTGGAATTGCATTTGCGAGGGTGGAGGAAGGATTTGAAACTGCTCTCAAAGACTACAATAGAAAACAGGTAGTAAAATGTTACATTTGTGGGTGAACAAAGTGGTCCTTCTATTCAATAAACCTCTTTTTTAGATCACGCAGCTCAACTCACTGATTCACATGCTGCTCGGAGATTTAACTCCTGGAGACAGACAGAAGATCATGACCATATGCACCATTGATGTCCACGCTCGAGACGTGGTCGCCAACCTTATTTCTCAAAAGGTACCTTTATTGTTTCCATCAACCCACGTGGATGAGAGTGACATACAAATTATGAGCCATTGTGAGCCTTGTGCCCATGTTCTTGCCTGTTAGGTGACGACAGGACAGGCATTTGCGTGGCTGTCTCAGTTACGTCACCGCTGGGATGAAGAAAGCCGGCACTGTTATGTTACCATCTGTGACGCCCAGTTCCAGTTTGGCTATGAATACCTGGGAAACACGAACAGACTGGTCATCACTCCACTCACTGACAGGTGAACATGGAGGCCACATTGAAATACAAAAACACACAGAACACACAGATAGTTCATGAAGTATACTGGTACATCAAATTTTGTTTTTTACTGGATATGAACAAAAATTATTACAAACTGAAATTCCCTAAAAGAATCCAATAATTCTCAGTCTGGTCATCTGGACAGTTTTTTTTTTTTTTTTAGAGACGTTTCGCTTCATCAGTCAGAGGAGTTCCAGTAAACTGTTTCCCCACCAAGGTGGGGAAAGGTTGGTCCACTTAAGGAGTTTACTACTTGGTGAGGAAACAGTTTACTGGAACTGCTCAGACTGATGAAGCCCTCCGGATAGAGGGCGAAACGTCTCTATAAAAAATAAACTGTCCATATGACCCGAATGAGAGTTATAGGATTTGGTACCTGGATGATTGAGCATGAACTTTGTTACCTAAAAGAATGCGTATCATCCGCCACCATTTATGTCAGAGTTTTAGACTAAGATAATCCTATGTTGAGAAATGAGTTGTAGCCATTTTGATCAAACTTTGAACTCGAATTTAACCTCAGTATCTATAAAATTGAAGTTTTTGTCATTTTTGTGTTAGCTAACGTTGGTTAGCTGTGGAGGCCATTTTAATAGGGGTTGACTGTAAAAGTTCATCAGTTGTAGAGGTTTGTGAAATGATAACTATCTGAAAGTTTCAATAAAGTCTGCCAAGTGAGTCAATAGACATTTTGCTAACAGACGAACAATGTTGATTCCAAAAGTTAATGCTAATATTTGATGCAAGGATATCACACAAGAATGTGGCATGGTGGATCAGTTAGTAGAGCTGTCGCCTCTCAGTGAGAAGGTCACCGGTTCAAATCCCAGTCCGGGACCTTTCTGGGTGGAGTTTGCATGTTCTGTGCATGCGTGGGTTTTCTTTGGATACTCCAGTTTCTTCTCACAGACCAAAAACATGCATGTTAGGCTGACTGGTAACTCTAAATTGTCCCAGGGTGTGAGTGAGAGAGAGAACGGTTGTTTGTCTCGTTTGTCTCTATGTGGCTCTGTGATGGACTGGAGAACTGTCCAGGGTGTACCCCGCCTCTTGCATAGTGATGACTGGACATGGACCCCCAGGACTCAAAAAGGAAGAAGCGGGTAAAGATGATGGATGGATGGATGGATGGATGGATGGATGGATGGATGGATGGATGGATGGCTGGCTGGCTGGCTGGCTGGCTGGCTGGCTGGCTGGCTGGCTGGCTGGCTGGCTGGCTGGCTGGCTGGCTATCACACAAGAGTGGGACTCCAAAAGTTATTCAGTTGTAAATGTGCATCCAATATTTACTTCCAGAAAGTTTTATTACATTTTACCTCGTGGTTTGGGAGATATTTTGCTAACAGACAAAGATGACTCTAAACAGAAGATGACAAAATTTTAAAGAAATATCTTGTACCATCTCTTAGTGCTAATACTGTATATGCACTAGGTATCAGTTTCCCTTGCCCAGTTTAAGACCTATTTAAATGAAATCATTTGAGTTTATCCCTTTAATTAAGTGTCTTGGCTGTAGCAACCATCTTGAATCAGGTCAACTCTGGAAGTAATAAACTTCACTTTTAATGTGACATCACAGCTTTCATGCTATTTACTTAAATATGAATTGCTGCTGGTTATTATTCTCTACCCTGTCAGGTGTTACATAACTCTGACCCAGTCTCTCCATCTGACAATGAGCGGTGCTCCATCTGGCCCAGCTGGTACCGGCAAAACAGAGACCACTAAGGACCTTGGACGCTCCCTGGGCATCATGGTGTATGTGTTCAACTGCTCAGAACAAATGGACTACAAGGTAACACAGACTGCAAAGGTCTTCCTCCCAGTGCCCATGTGTTTGTACTTTTGTCAATGTTCAGCCAACCTTTAAGCTTCTCTGTGTGTCTCTATCCCATCTCTTCAGTCTATTGGTAACATATATAAGGGTCTGGCTCAGACGGGAGTGTGGGGTTGCTTCGATGAATTTAACAGGATCTCAGTGGATGTTCTATCTGTTGTCGCTGTGCAAGTCAAGACCATACAAGATGCTATACGCAACAAAAAACAGAGGTACATATGTGGCTAAAATGTATCTGTTCTCGTTTTATTAATTTGTCTATCTGGGCTAAGCTTTATCGATGTATCCATTAAGCAACTTTTACATGTAGGTTTCATTTTCTGGGCGAAGACATTGAGCTGAAACCAACGGTGGGGATCTTCATCACTCTGAACCCTGGTTATGCTGGCAGAGCCGAGCTCCCAGAAAATCTAAAAGCTCTATTCAGGTTAGATACATTGTGAATAACATGACTGTCAGTGCAAAAGCTGACCAACTCCACCAGTGTCTTATTTCTAACCTTTTTGTTCAACATCAGGCCCTGTGCGATGGTAATCCCAGACTTTGAGTTAATTTGTGAGATCATGTTGGTGGCTGAAGGCTTCATTGATGCACGTCTGCTGGCACGCAAGTTTATCAGCCTCTACACTTTGTGCAAGGAGCTGCTATCTAAACAGGTGTGTGCGTTAAAGAAAATGTCAGAACACAAACTGCATTTTCACACAAAAACAAAAGCTATGGGTGAATGCTGATTTCTGAATGACTTTTCTCAAATTTGCTGAACATTATTTGAATTGTTAAACAGAACATTAGCTAAAAACTAAAATGGGGGGAAGAAATGCTAAATGCTTAAAATAGTAAAATGCTGACTCAAATACAAAGTAGGATAACGCAAGTCAGAAGTATCAAAAGCTAAAACTTAAGAGTTGCTAAAAGCTAACAGAAGATAAGGGCTAGCTAAAAAGTAAAAGCAGCAAAATACTAGAAGCTATGAAAAGCAAACGGCCAAAAGCTAAAACTAACAAAATGCTAGCTAGAAGTAGCAAAGGGCTAGCTAAAAATACCAAAGGGCTAGATAAAAACCAAAAGTAACAAAAGGATGGGTAAAGTTAGAAAAAGGCTAATTAAATGCTAACGGTAGCAGAATAGTAGCTAACAGCTAAAATTATCATTAGAAGGTGAAAATACAGTTACTATGCCGAAACAATTTCCAAACAAAATAGTATTTTAAAAGAGATTTCAGGAGATTTTATTTCAGTTCTATAGGGTAAAAAGTTGTAAATAGTTAAATATGAAAAGCCACAAAATGTTATACCACCCACTTCCCAAATGAGCTAAAGACTTTAGCATATGGATGATTAAAATAGCACAAAGTATTCAGTATTAGTTCAACTGTAAAAAATGTACAGGAAAAAAACAATAATGTGAATGTTCATGGACACAACTTAGAACTGAGTTGTTTTGGGACAGCTGCTGAGTGTTGACTGAATCAGCTGATCAGAGAAAGATGTCTCGTTTGGTGCACAACATCTTGAAAGGAATTTAGCTTTGCGTTATGATGACTGGATCACAAAGACTGACAGAAGACTTGCCATGAAATATTTCTAACTTTAAATCACCCTAATATGCTTCTTTTTAAATTCCAACTCAGTGACCTAAATGGTCTAAAATTATTTTTTATTGCACAACTTTTAGGATCATTATGATTGGGGTTTGCGTGCTATAAAGTCAGTCCTGGTTGTTGCTGGGTCACTGAAGCGAGAAGATCGCAGCAGACCTGAAGAACAGGTGAGATGCTATTCACACAATTAAGAAAAACCAACAACATTTTTTTTAATGTTGTTTTTATACAAACTTGAGCTTTAAAACACTTTTGCTTCTTGGTATAAAACCTTTTCTGCCTCTTTCTTCCCAGGTGCTCATGCGAGCACTGAGGGACTTCAACCTGCCGAAGATAGTGACCAGTGACGTGCCCATATTCCTTGGACTGATCAGTGACCTGTTTCCTCAGCTGGATGTGCCCAGAAAGAGAGACCCCACTCTGGAAAATGCTGTCCGTCAGTCAGTCAGTGAGCTGCGCCTACAACCTGAGGAAAACTTTATACTGAAGGTGTTGTATTCTTTGAGCTCGTGGGAAATGTTAAAACACCTCAGGTTGAGCTTGAGTTTAAATTTGAGACAATTTTAACAAAATATAGGGTCTATGGAGTCAAAGAGTCATGGATATGTCTGTGTTTAAAGAAAACATTATGTATAGTTGTATTTTATAGTGCATAGTGTGATTTCCATGTTTTGGCAGGTGACTCAGCTGGAGGAGCTGCTGGCTGTCAGACATTCTGTTTTTATTGTAGGTGGGCCGGGCACAGGAAAGAGTCAGGTTAGCATCATTTGAGTCAATACGTCAGTGGCAACAAATACTAATACACTCATTTATTAAAACAACGTGTGCTTACTCCTCCCTTTATATCTAAAACAATCATCCATGGGTTAACGTCATTTCTCTGGATTATTTTGAATGACAATGATGGATTCTACTTTATAGGATGTCATGTGTTAGGCATTTACGATGTCTGTCTCACAGATTTTGAAGACCCTCTACAGAACTTATTCTAACATGAAGATGAAGCCCTTATGGAACGATATTAACCCCAAAGCTGTTACTACAGACGAGCTTTTTGGATATCTGCACCCAGCTACCAGAGAGTGGAAAGACGGTGAGGCAAACATAAATGTTTTAGACGAAAATACTGAGAAACAAAGTAAAAATTAAAGGAAAGCAATGATCCAGTTAACTTGAGAATCACGCTAAACAAAAGTTATTTTAAGAAATATACCCAAAATTCACTTGTGAATCTCATCTCGAAATAAAGTTTAAATTTAAAGGCCCAGCGTCAGATTGTGTTGTGCTTTTTTTAGTGCAACAACATTTAGTTTTTTGTAGTATTTTTCTCAGCAGTGGTCCAGTGATAGTGATGTATGTGTCACCCTTTTTTCACTTTAGGTCTGTTCTCCTCTCTGATGAGAGAGCTGACCTCAGTTATCCATGATGGGCCCAAATGGATTGTTCTAGATGGGGATATCGACCCTAAGTGGATTGAGTCTCTCAACACGGTTATGGATGACAACAAAGTGAGACTTCAAAAAGGTTCCCACATATTGTGCTGTCTTCTCCGTTGTAGTAAAGATGGACTCTGTGTTCCACGTGTGGAGTTTAAATTCACTAGGATTTTCACATTACCCACCCAAAGCCCAAACTAATGAGTTTCAAATTTTACGTTGGTCTCTGGGTGGACTGAGGTTTTACTGTGTTTGTTAAAGTTTAAAATAAAATTGAAAAAAAAGTATCCATTTTCTGGTTCATCTGAGCAGGTTCTGACTCTTGCTAGCAATGAAAGGATCAGCTTGTCGTCCTCCATGCGTCTGCTCTTTGAGATCTCTCATCTAAGGGCTGCTACCCCGGCGACAGTGTCCAGGGCAGGAATACTTTACGTCAACCCACAGGACCTTGGCTGGAGCTCGTAAGACTCAAAATAACAGTGAACTGAATTTTACTCATGGGCTTGTTAACTACTTTACTTTTTAAAATATTGGACAATGCATTTCTCTGTATTGTCAGTTACGTAGCAAGCTGGATTGACACTCGCCAGGCCCAATCAGAGCGAGCCAACCTCACCATTTTGTTTGACAAGTATGTGCCGTACTGTTTGGAACAGGTCCGCTGCAACCTGAAAACCATCACTCCCATTCCAGAAAACAGCATGGTCCAGGTCTGATCTTAACCCTTAAAATAAAAAGTTTATTTTACTGTAGACTCCGTTGTCCAGAGAAGTAGCAGCTCTACATTTTGTTCAATCAGACACTGTGCTCCTTGCTGGACTGCCTGTTGACGGAGGACAACACTCCTGCTGACTCCCCCCGAGAACTTTATGAGCTCTACTTTGTCTTCGCCTGCGTCTGGGCTTTTGGAGGGGCTCTCTTCCAGGATCATGTGAGTGATAACCAAATGTCTGCCTGAAGCAGCAAAACCTTCTATTGGTAGTGTTTTACATCAGCAATATCTAAATATTTCAAATTCTTGCACCATTTGAACCTGCTGCGTTTTGTCCAATTTTACCCGCCATTCATTTCAGCTGAATGACTACCGTTCCGAATTCAGCCGCTGGTGGTCCAAAGAGATGAGGGCCGTGAAGTTTCCTTCTCAGGGCACAGTTTTTGACTATTTCATCGACTCTGAGAGCAAAAAGTTTATACCCTGGAGTGAGAAGATGGTGCCATTCGAGTTAGAGCCTGACGTCCCATTGCAGGTGTGTCTATCTACTGCAAGCAAGAAGTACAGCACATTATTTCACTCAAAGGAGCAGCTCTCAGCCATGTTGTGAATTGTCTGCTTTAGACTGTGCTGGTCCACACCCCAGAAACCCTATGTCTAACCTACTTCATGGACCTGCTGCTTCAGAGAGGCAAACCTGTCATGTTAGTGGGCAATGCAGGGGTGGGTAAAACCATCCTGGTGGCTGATAAAGTCACCAAACTAAAGGAGGACTTCATGGTGTCGAAAGTACCCTTTAACTACTACACCACATCAGCCATGCTGCAACGTAAGAACCAGAATGTTGATGTTGTACACAAAAATACTGATACCAGAAGAACAAAAAATAAAGAAGTGATGTGAATTATCCTATTAAAGAACAACTAACTAATGGGTTTTGCCCATTTACACCAGTTAAATGAAACCGATTACCCTTGCTTTTTTCTTGTTATCAGTGAGTAACTTCTTGGTGGCCATACTTTCAAATGTTCTAATGGTCTCATATGAACTTTAGGTGTCCTGGAGAAACCTTTGGAGAAGAAAGCTGGTCGTAAATTTGCTCCTCCTACTGGCAAGAGACTCATCTACTTCATAGATGACCTCAACATGCCAGAGGTGGATGTTTATGGGACTGTTCAGCCACACACACTCATCCGCCAACAGCTCGACTACAGCCACTGGTAAAATTGAATGGACACATTACCATGTTCACAATAAAAAATGCTTTACAAAGATTTTCCACCTGTGTGACTCAAAGTTTGCTGGTTTTAAATTTACTGAAATATTTTAGGTATGACAGACAAAGGCTGGTCCTGAAGGAAATCTATAACTGTCAGTACATCACCTGTATGAACCCTACGGCAGGAAGCTTCTCCATCAACCCCAGACTACAGGTACTGATGGATATACTGGGACAAAAATATGCTCCATTTACCATGAGATGAAATGCACACTAAGTGAAGTTGCCTTGTTAAATTAGACAGCGTGAAGAACTTACAGTGGCAAACTGTGCAAATGTTAATTCATCATAACTATTATTTTTGTTTTTAGATGTTATTTATGATGTTATTTTCACTTTGATAGTTTTTTTTAACTACTTCTGAATATTTTGTGCAATAACTATTTATAAATCAAAACATTCAGCTACTTTAGGAGATGGGTGTCATAAATGTGTTTTTTGTATCTTCTTTATCAAGAAAATGCCTACATTCCTTATTTTTTTCTTCTTATTCTAATTTTAGCTACCATTATGCTAGTTTTAGCTTGTGGCTAACCTTTTACTACTTTTAACTATTGTCCTTTTACTTTTAGCTAGACTTTAGCAACATTTAACTACCATACCACTACTTTTAGCTCCTATTAATCTTTTGCTACTTTTAACTTTGAGCTGGCTTTGTGCTACTTTAGCCAACCTTTGCTATGTATGGCTAGCCATATTGTACTTTTAGTTAGCCATGCTTTTATTTTACATTTTGCTATTTGCTACGTATGCTAGCTTTTAGCTAATGGTCTGCTTCTTTAAGCTATAACAACCCAATTTCTGCTTCTTCAGCTCATTTCAGCAAAGTTATTCAGTTTTCCCATTGCATTTTCACAGCAAATGATATTTCTCCAGTTATAATAAATGTATGCTTGTTTCTGAGAAAAATGCTGTAAACTGCAGTTTGTGTCTTCCACATACTCTCTGTGATTGTAATTTTCTTGTCTCTTCTCCAGAGGCATTTCTCTGTGTTTGCAGTGCATTTCCCTGGTGCTGATGCTTTAGCTACCATCTTCTCCAGCATCTTGTCTGCTCACTTCCTTCAGGGAGGATTCAGCTACGGAGTCTCACGCTCAGTTGGAACTCTCATACAGGTTCACAGCATCAGAGCAACATTTCTCTCTTTAACAATAACCTTTTTCTTTTAGTTTTATCATATATATTGAAAACATTGCTTACAAATGTGTTTTTGTGGACGTCTGATTCTGAACATTCAGGCAGCTATCTGCCTGTACCAAAAGATCAGCCAGAACTTCCTCCCAACAGCCATACGCTTCCACTACATCTTCAACCTGCGAGACCTTGCCAACATATTCCAGGTGATGAATAATCTGTACAGTCAAATTCCAAACAACGAATAACACTAATCTAAAATCATTATGTTTATATAGGCTATAGATATGTGTCCAGTCCAAATGAACTTATAAATTAATAAAACAAAATGTAGAAGCAAAGTTAATTGCTTTTCATCAGATTTGTTGATACAGTAAGTTTACTGTGCTTGTCTGGTGTTGTCTGAACGTGATGTCATGGTTTCCTGATGTGCAGGGCATCCTCTTTGCCCTGCCGGAGAGTATCCGTTACCCCATGGACCTGGTTCACCTGTGGCTCCATGAGAGCTCCAGAGTTTACTCTGACAAACTGATGGAGGAGAAGGATGTGGAGCTCTTCAATAAAATCCTGATGGACACTGGGAAAAGATATTTTGAGGTACAAAACAAAGGCTAATAATTAGTACACTGCTAGATCTAGCATTTTGTTTCAGCATAAAATTATAAATGAAGAGACCGCCTTAAAATTTTAAGTACTTTACTTGACATCTATTTTCTCAATTAAAAAGTCTTATTGTGTAAACTTTTGTTAGTTTGGTCGATTTGAATGTAGTAGTTGATTGAAATTTTTGGAGTTGTTGTTCAAACTAACTAATCTATTCAGATGTAATAAAACTACTTGATTAAATTACTCAGTATACAGTAATTGATCAATCTAATATATATATATATATATCCATCCATCCATCCATTATCTTTACCCGCTTATTCCATTTTGGGTCACCGGGGTCGCTGGTGCCCATGTCCAGCAATCACTGTGCGAGGGGCGGGGTACACCCTGGACAGGTCGCAAGTCCATCACAGGGCCACATAGAGACAAACAACCATTCACTCTCTCACTCACACCTAGGGACAATTTAGAGTTACCAATCAGTCTAACATGCATGTTTTTGGACTGTGGGAGGAAACCGGAGCACCCGGAGAAAACCCACGCATGCACGGAGAGAACATGCAAACTCCACCCAGAAAGGCCCCCGGACCGGGGTTTGAACCAGGGACCTGCTCGCTGAGAGGCAGCAGCTCTACCAGTTGCGCCACCGTGCTGCCTACTATATATATATATATATATATATATATATATATATATATATATACTGCAGTCAAACGTAAAGGCACTTGAAGTAAAGCTTAAAAACATATTAAGAAAAACAAAGGCTGACTTAGCAGCGATAAATACAAAATAATAACTCTCAGAAACATAGAGGACCAGATTAGGTATGGAAGCCACACTGGTGGACTGCAGGTGAATGAAGACAGAGAGAATAGATGAACTGGTGCTGATGAGTGGAGTGAAGACGCCTGGGTGGAGGTGACAGGACTGAGGAGCTGAGGCTGAGTGTGGAAAAATACTGAGAATACCAGAAAACACAGAAAACAAATTGAACCAAAGGAAATTATTGAAAATAAAACATCACAGGATAAAGTAAAACATGAAAAATAAAAATTTATACAGGCAAAAACACGGATCAGAAGCAGTTCCCAACAAAGTTAAGTCAGGTGGACAGTTTCTTTGTGTTGAAACATTTCGTCCTTCATCCAAAGGACTTCATCAGTCCGAGGAGACACAACAAACTCAGTCCCATAAGTAGCACATTCACATAGTGGACCAACCAGTTTGATGGTGATAATATGATTTCTGGTTATTACATTGATTATTATCTATTCAGTATTATAAGATATATATATATATAAGTAACGTATAAGTTATTATAAGATGATCAGAATAGTTTGTCTAAATGACATCTATAAAATAAAAAATCAAACAGGCAAATCCCCATTTTGCCGTACAGTACATCTGAATCTGATTTAAAGCCATTTAAAGTTTATGATGAACACACTCATTGTTCGCTTGTTGCTGTTTTTACCCATTTTTTTCCCAGGGAATAGATGACTCCATCTTTATTCATCAACCTTTGGTGTACTGCCACTTTGCCCAGGGAATAGGAGAGCCACGCTATCACCAGGTTTGGTGCCTACACACATGATGTTGGTCTGAGCATCATGGATCTGGACTCGTTGCTTCTTTGTGTATTCTACATTAACAGTTATGAGTGCAACTCATCACTTAAATCAATTTATTACACTTTTTTTGCTGCTACCACATTGTTATGAAGATAACAGTAAACTGATCTCCTTTCTCTACTCTAACCAAGTTTCTTTGCGTATCTGTATCACCGGTCTCTAGTGATTACACGAACACAGTTGGTCTTACTCAAAGGTGTATAGTTCCTTTCTTGAGTTGGCTTTCCTTTCAGGCTTCAGACTGGGAGAAGCTCCAGAAAACACTGGCTGAGGTCCTGGAGCATTACAATGAGCTCCACGCTGTCATGGACCTGGTTCTGTTCGAAGAAGCCATCCAGCATATGTAAGAAACACATTTGGACGGCTGTTTATCAGCCCCAGCCACACACGCACTAACATGTCACAAAGAAGGATTTCCAGTGATGAGCTAAAATGTAAACAACAGACAATAAACTTGCCACTCTGGTGTTGGGTTCAGTTGTCGGATCAGTCGCATCCTAGAGGCCCCTTATGGTAACGCCCTGCTGGTGGGGGTTGGGGGCAGTGGGAAGCAGAGTCTGTGTCGGCTGGCTGCTTTCCTGAGCTCGCTGGAGGTTTTCCAGATAACGCTGCGAAAAGGCTACGGCATCAATGATCTGAAGGTGAACGTTCAGTGACACATTTGCAGCAAATACCAAAAGTCATTCCAGTGTCACGTATGGGTTGATACGTATTGATTTTTTTATGTATGTCAGAGCAACAGCATCTTCATTCTTTATCATTTTCATTTCAAATCTCCCTGCTTTATGGTCTGCAGAGCGATATAGCAGCGCTGTACATAAAAGTGGGCGTTAAGAACATTGGGACTGTGTTCCTTCATACAGACGCTCAGATTCCAGATGAGCGCTTCCTGGTGCTCATCAACGATATGCTGGCTTCAGGTTTGTCTGCAACTTCTCTAACAAAGAAAATAGATGTGCTCTCATGAGTACGTTTTATCAAGGAATGAATGCACAGATATATTTTATGTCATTGTTTATGCTGTCTAAAAATTTGGAAGCACACAAGATTCAAGTCGACTCAGAATGTTATCTTTTCCATCCATGCTTCAATTCATGGCTTTTTGTGTCATTTGGGTATTTAATAATAATAAATACATTGTGAGTATTGTTGTCCTTTTCAGGGGATATTCCTGACCTGTTTAATGATGAAGAAGTGGATATGATTGTAGCGTCAATCCGTATGGAGCTGAAGGGATTAGGACTCGTAGATAGCCGAGACAACTGCTGGCGTTTCTTCATTGAACGGATAAGAAGACAACTTAAGGTATAAAACATCATTTCATCTCCTCATTATTAAAGCTTTCTTTTTGCTGGCTTTAGCTTATCATTTTTTTGTGACCCTTCAATTTTTTTCCACAAGGTGGTCTTGTGTTTCTCACCAGTCGGATTTACGTTGCGCACACGTGCCAGGAAGTTTCCCGCTCTAGTTAATTGCACTGCTATAGACTGGTTTCACCCCTGGCCTCACCTCGCTCTGCAGTCCGTCAGCTCTACGTTCATCGAGAAGATACCTGGGCTTGAGGTAAGAGCAATTTATAGCAAATTTAGTTAGCAACCGTTCTAGTTGTATGCCTCATAACCTTTCTCCTGTCAATGCACTTCAATCTGTTCTTGTGTGTATATTTCTTCAATTTGTGTCTTTCTTGTTGCGCAGCAAAAAGTAAGGGCATCCATCAGTGAGTTCATTTCCTACGCCCACACGAGTGTCAATGAGGTGAGGGCTGCTGCAGACCACTGCAAAGGACAACCATTCCTTTTATTTTTTGTTTGTACAAAATGTATTGGGTGGTTTGTTAAAAGGTGAGTGTGAAGTATCAGCAGAATGAGAAGCACTTCAACTACACCACGCCAAAGAGTTTCCTTGAGTTCATGAAGCTGTACGACAACCTGCTGAGGAAAAAACGCACCGAACTAAACCAGAAAATGGACAGAATAGAGAATGGACAGCAGAAACTGAAGAATACTGCATCACAGGTTGGACATTTTACCCCGCATGGCAAAAATACGTATAAATATTTGCTATCTGTGCATCGTCTGTTCGACTCGCTTTTCTTGAGCAGATGTGTGACCTTTTGTCAGGTGGAGGATCTCAAAGCCAAGTTAGCAGTGCAGGAGGTGGAGCTGTGGCAGAGGAATGAAGAGATCGAAGCTCTCCTCGCTAAGATAGGACAGCAGACGGACAAGGTCAACCAAGAGAGAGCTGTGGCTGATGAAGAGGAGCAGAAGGTACGTGTGGGACTTTAAGGTCTCTAAAGTAGGAACAAAATAGGTGTGGGAGGAAAGTAAGACCCACTTTGTTTCTTATTTGCTAACCTACTCCAAACATTCGCATTTGAATGAGTAAAATAAATTCTTTAAACAGGTTTCCTATAGCTGTCATGGTTCCTTAGAGATGAGCTGAACACGTCTATGAAGGTGACCTGACTGGAGGTTGATTGACTAATAAAGGCAAATATTACCATAACAGAAATATGACAGCAGAGAAAAAAGTTACTGCTACAAGAGTATGGAATGCTGCAGCATTTTAACTTCACTGATCTGTTCACCAGCCCCCTCAGGTAAAAGGATGATAATGGTTTTGGTAGTGGCCGAGTGTTCATTTGTGTGTCTGTTATCAAAATTCACCATGAATCACTGGATTATTTTTAATGAAAGTAACAGAGAATCATTATTGAATGTACATCTGCCACTGATTAACTTTTGGAGTCGATCTGTTTTAAGAAGGCTGCCACAGCCAACTAAACTTAAAAAACACTAAACTAGTTTTAACTCAGTTAATTTTAGAGACATTGACTTTAAATCTGGTGTGCTAGTAGCTCAGACTTATCACCAAAATATATTATGAGTGCCAATAGATTACACAAAACTTTTGTATGCAACTGCCAGACTGAACACTGTGTGTTAGCAAAATATTATGAACCACTGCACAAATATTAATGAAACTGGTTGTTCTTCTACAATTGAATACCTATCAAAGTCAGCCAAATTTAAAATGGCTGCCACCTCTAAATGACATTTGTCAACACAAAATGGCTATACCTCAGTCAATTTTAGAAATATGAAGCTAAAATTCAGTGAGGTAGTAGCTGAAAGTCTTTTCCAACACATCCTCTGACCACAGTATATTGCAATAATGGACAAAACTGAGCAAAACTTTATTTTCAAGGTTTCACCATTAAAAGTGCCGGACCATGTGCATTGCTTTAAAAGACCCTATTGGAGTGAAAACAAGCCAAAATTACAACAAAGCAATAAAAATGGATACCTGTACGTTTCTGTAATTTTTCAGGTGGAAGCAATTCAAGCTAAAGTGACAAAACAACAACAGGAGACAGAGGAGGACTTGGCCAAAGCTGAACCTGCCCTGCAGGCAGCCAACACGGCTCTTAACACTCTAAACAGGGTAAAGTGTTTTAACACACACGAGACACCGCACACTGTTTGATTTATTTGTCATATTTTATTTCATTTGTTTTATTAGCTGTGTCAGTTGTAAGCAGAAGAACAATGTGTGCTTGTCTCCAAATAAAACCTTTGAAACACGGAGTTATGAGTATGTGTTTGTTTCAGCTGAACCTTACAGAGCTGAGGGCGTTTCCCAACCCTCCCGCTATTGTCACCAACGTCTCAGCGGCTGTTCTGGTGCTGCTGTCTCCCCAAGGCCGAATCCCCAAAGATCGCAGCTGGAAAGCCTCCAAGATGGTTATGAGCAAGGTGATATTTTACAGAGAGGGTTGGTGGCGTCAGCAGTTTATGGCTGATATCACAAAATCTAAATAAAACCAAAACCCTGCTGAGAAAGTCAGCGTAAACAAACTTTTAGAATGACGTGTTTTGAAGCAGTGTCCTCTATGTTGTGTAGAAAGACGCAGTATATTTGAATCTATAAAGGCTGTCATTTTGCGTCCGCTCTGCACAAATGCCCCTTTAGGTGGATGACTTCCTGCAAGCTCTGGTGAACTTTGACAAAGAGCACATCCCTGAGGCCACAGTGAAGTGTGTGAGAGACGACTACCTCAGCGACCCTGAGTTCAACCCTGAGTTTGTGCGACAGAAGTCGTCGGCCGCTGCAGGTCTCTGTGCCTGGGTGATCAACATCATCCGCTTCCACAAGGTATGCACGCGAAGCTTGGAAAGCCTGTGGGTGCTGGTCATCAGTCAGCAGCGCTGCTGTTAACAGACTTCTTTCTCTTCAATACTTCTGCTGCCCTGGATAGATTTTTGTAAGTACATCTCCACTTTCTTGTTTTAATAATTATTTTAAATAACTGAGTTGATTGTAGGGGAGACCGGGTATGGTTGTAACATGGGGAGAGTTGTAACACCATCATGGATAAGATCATATGATCATTCCAGTTTACTCAATTCCTCCCTGATCCCACATGGTGATTGCCAAGCTTTGAAACAAATGCACACAGATTCTATAATGAAAAAAATTATTTTTAGGTAAGAAAGTAAATTTTTGAACCAAGACTATATTTTGTTTAGTAGATATGCTATTGCAGATAAAACTGTCAGCTATATTACATTCAATTGTAGCTTCTCAGGCATTTTTCCCCTGTTAATTTCAAACCACTGTGCTAATACAGCTAGCTAAACAATGGCTGACAGGGCTGGGGTGGGTTGTAACACATCTTTAAAAAGTGTTAAAACCATCCCATAGCATACAACTAAGAAAACTTTTTCGATTTTATTAATTTTACAAAATGCCTAGGGAGTGGAAAGGAAAGACTGACAGAGATGTGTCTGTGAATGTTTTAAAAAATATGCTTGGATGAAAATGGATCCTGCCAAGATGATGGCGATATATCATATACTGTATTATATGATATTACAAGTGTTGTGAAGACTGCTCTGCTTGTAGCTGCAACACCCAAAAACATTCAAGCTGGTTTCCAGTCCACAGGTATTTGGCCGGCAGCACAGTGGTGCAGTTGGTAGAGCGTTTGCCTCTCAGCGAGCAGGTCGCCGGTTCAAATCCTAGCCCAGGACCTTTCTGGGTGGAGTTTGATATACTGATACACCAGTGAAGCAAGCACTGATGGATAAAGAACAGAGAAGAGGAAGCAAAAATATGAGAGTATCTCAGGAAAGAATAAAGGCGAAGGAGAGAAAGCCTGCCAAGAAAATGTCAATACTAAGGATTCTGAGACCTCATGATGAAAACTGTTGTGTCTGTATGGAGCCATTTGGTAACTCAAAGCCAAATGAAGTATGGGTAAAATGTGCCTTAAACAGTTTCTGAGCCCAACAAGCCTGTACTCCAGGGTTACCAACATTCATTCGTCACCGCTGTGACTCTGATTAAGAATATAGACCTACACACACACACACACACACACAGTGACATTGTTTTCATTTGACCTAATGTTCTTTACACAGCTACAGTAGAGTGTTCATTAGGCATACATGTTGTTTAGGAAGTTTGTTCTAGTAGTCCTACACTAATTTACACACACATATACTCCTGTTACAACTTATCCCAGCATGTGTTACAACCTACCCCGGTAGTGGGGTAGGTTGTAACAAAGAAAAACCGTGTATTTGACATCAACTCACGACGTCTGTGATAATCTTGCAGAGGTTTGAATTGGTGCCATTTGTAGAAGACAAATGTGTGTACTTTGTGTAAAAGTTTGAGCACTCTAGCTAAAAAATTCAATGAGTTACAGCTGCTGAAGCAATAAGTGTTACAACCATACCCGGTCTCCCCTATTTTATGAATATGAGCTATATTGAGTACAATTGTATAGTAGCTGTGTCTCTGTCATTTCTCATTATAACATAATGAGCTTGTTTGTGAGAGGTGTTTTTTTCAATATTAGGGGTTTTTCTCAGCCAAGAAAAAAGTCTGATAGGAATTTTTTTCGCCTCCAACTCCTACATGTGTCCAGTTAACCACTGTTTTTGTCTGTCCAAACAGGTCTCACTTGTAAATGAGTCTTCGAGGCTCGTTGTGATTTATCTGTTTAAATAAAGATTGAATGAATGAATAATCTTAGTATAAAACACTGGCGCCAGGCGATATGCATTTCTTCCATTAATTCTGGGTCTTTAATTATGTTTGTGTGTGCAGGTGTTGTGTGAGGTGGAGATGAAGAGGATGAGTCTGTCTCAGGCTAACGCAGATTTGGCTGAAGCTGCGGAGAAACTAGAGGTCATCAGGAAAAAACTTGCAGTGAGTTTGTTTAGTCTATTTCTCCGATTGCAGTTATGTCTAAATGTTAAATGCTAATGAAATGCTAATAAAATGACTTCAAAGGTTATCTAAACCTGCAGTCAATTCTCTTTGATTGTGATGAAAATTAGCTTGCTTTTATATTAACTGATCAGCATCTTTTAGTGAACATAAAGGAATTGATGCAATAGTATTTCTTCGACCATCTCTGACTATGTAGTATCTCCTCTCAGGAGCTGGACATTAACCTGGAGACTCTGACAACAGCATTTGAGAAAGCTACAGCAGAGAAACTGCGCTTTCAGGAAGAGGTCAACAGAACCAACAAGACAATAGAGCTAGCTAATCGGCTGGTCAAAGGACTGGAGGTGGGCACACGTATCAGCTGGTAACTGGAAATTATAGTATATACATTATAACTATTATTACATTATACATGATTTATTATCAATAGCTGCCATAAAATGTGGACAGTCATTTATTATGCCATTTGTTATTGCCATTGCCAATGTATGTGAATTTCTTTGTATCTCATGAAGCAGTGGATGGACTTTAATGAAACATAACAAACAGATTTTTTGTTTTCTGAAGTTGATTTAACTTTTAGTCATCCTGATTCAAGACACATTTCACAGATAATTGTCCTGAAAAAACACAAAAAATGGCTACAGTCCTGTCAGTTTTATAGACGTTGAACTACATTTTAGCGTGGTAGCTGAGAATCATCCCCAATATTTTAACACTAATAAGATTTTAGTTTAAAACGTTGGCATGCATAGTGGCAGACAAGATGCATTACTTTATAAAATGGCAGCTTCTGTCATAACGGGGGACTGGTGTAGATAAACCCAGTGATGCAGGCAGTAGCAGGCTCAGGAGATTATAAAATAAAGTATTTATTAACAAGAAATCAAAAAGGCTGTTGATGCAGCAAGATGCATAAATAACAAGGAGCAGACAGGACATCACTAGTGGACAGCATTCAATGCCAGGACAAAGGACTAACACAGAGACGCAGACTCAGTGGAAATGAGACAAAACACTTGTGAGGACACGCAGCTGAAACACATCAGGGGAAATGATAAACTGGGAAACCAGGGTGTGCAGGAACAGAGACACAACACCAGATGGAGGCATACCACTAGGAAAACACAAACCCTATGGAAAACAGAAACTGAGGATAAGGAGAACACAAGACATAAGCACAACACAAGATGGGGCTAGACACCAGGAACAGACCACAATCCCTACCGTTTCATTTTAATTTTGATCACCTCGTGCAATTATAAACCCTGGCTGTAGTTGTTGATGAGAAATAAAAGCATGTGCGTGCGTTTCAGAGTGAGAACGTACGCTGGGCCCACTCTGTGGCTCAGTATCACGAACAGGAGGCAACTCTCTGCGGAGACGTTCTGCTGACTGCAGCTTTCATCTCCTACGCCGGCTCTTTCTCCAAGAAATACAGGAGAGAGCTGCTGGACAACCTCTGGATGCCTTTCCTCCGCAACCAAAAGGTCACAAGATATTTGCTCCTCGTCCCCTCCATAGCAAACTAACTATAGTCTGATAGATTGCTGTGTAAACATCTGTCTTATTTTGTGTTTAAAAAAACAAAAAAACTTTTGTAATTTATTTCATTAGGTTCCTATTCCCATGATGTTTGGTTTGGACCCAGTGTTGATGCTGACTGATGATGCTACGGTGGCACAGTGGAACAACGAAGGCTTACCTGGAGACAAAATGTCCACTCAGAATGCTACCATCCTCACCAACTGTGAGCAGACATTTTAGATGTTCTCATCATCTGGTGGCTTCCTGACACTCGACATAAACAGTTTGCTTCGGCAACGTGTCTAGGTAACATGTGCACTGTTTCAGGTGAGCGCTGGCCTCTACTCATTGACCCTCAGCTGCAGGGCATCAAGTGGATCAAGAGTCGCCATGGTAACACTCTCAAGGTTGTCAACCTGGGACAGAGAGGGTGAGTGTTTCTGTTTTTACCTAATGCTGTCAGACTGTAATGTTTCGCATGAAAATTCGTGATAAAATCATGTTCCTGATTCTTTGTGGGGAAGTTTGTAAAGTAAAGGATCTGTAGTGGTAGCTGAGCATTATTCTACATGCACATAACACACCTGCAAGTCTTTATCGTCTCATTCTTTTAGTCTAATGACCAATGGTTTTCCAGATATGTCGACGTTATTGAGCAGGCTGTGGTAGCAGGAGACACTGTGCTGATCGAAAACCTCGAGGAGACAATTGACCCCGTTATTGACCCTCTTCTGGGGCGGCACACAATCAAGAAGGGCAGGTAACAGACTGAAAAACAAGCGAGCACCGAAAACATTTTGTTCCCTCCATCCAATTATTCCCTCGTCTTCTCTCCATCCTGCTGCAGCTGCATAAAGGTCGGAGACAAAGAGTGTTTATTCCATCCAGGCTTCAGACTGATTCTTCACACCAAACTGGCCAATCCTCACTACAAACCAGAGATTCAGGCCCAGACCACCCTTATTAACTTCACAGTGACCAGAGATGGGCTGGAGGACCAGCTCCTGGCCCAGGTGGTGAACCAGGAGAGACCGGACCTCGAACAGCTAAAGGTGGGCAGTACTTATTACCAGGTTCTTGTTGCAATTACACATGGGTTCCCCACTTTACACCTTCATCCTCCTCCACTTCTATACGATAGCTCTGTCTCAACATTCTTACATTTGTTTGCATAATTTCTCTGCAGAGTGAACTGACCAAACAGCAGAACATGTTTAAGATTGAGCTGAAGCTCCTGGAGGACGAGCTGCTAACCCGACTGTCCGCAGCACAAAGTAACTTCCTCGGTGACACCATGCTGGTGGAGAAGCTTGAGAGCACCAAGCACACCGCCGCTGAGATTGAGATGAAGGTCGGTGGAAAGGGGAGAAAAAGTATATTTTGTAACTTTGAACGTGTTTTGTCACATTTTCTTGTGTTTCTGCATTCTCTTTCGTTGCGTTCTCAGGTTCTGGAGGCCAAAGTTAATGAAGTGAAAATAAACGACGCCAGAGAGCACTATCGTCCTGTCGCAGTCCGAGCGTCTCTGCTCTACTTCATCATGAATGACCTGAACAAGATCAATCCAATGTACCAGTTCAGCCTCAAGGTAACTGGACAGCACACACAGAGGCTGACTCACATCTTAGGATCCCTCAAACTTAATTAAAGCGAGGCAGGAGTGCAAATGTTGACATGTGTAATTTAATTAGTGATCTGAAATGCGACTTTAATGCTTCTAATCAACTGCACAGCAACACAGGAGGTCCCACTTATTGATTTTCCTTGTTGTTTTCAGGCCTTTAACGTTGTTTTCCACAAGGCGGTGGAGTTGGCGGAGGCCTGTGAGGACGTGGAGAGCAGAGTAAACACACTCATAGACCGTGTGACGTACTCCACCTTCAACTACATCAGCAGGGGGTTGTTTGAGAGGGACAAGCTCACCTTTACAGCTCAGCTAGCCTTCCAGGTGTGTGTGTAACCCACTACGTAGGTTCCTTCAAGTACCTCTTTTTTAGTGAGCAGATATGGCAAGGTAAATTACTACAATCACTAATACCAATACTACACACTTAAGAGGAATGTTGAGCCTGATCAAAGGACTCAGGATAGATATGAGTAGCAACAGAAGGAAGTGCACACATTTTATAGAAAATAAGTTTATAAGGGAATACAAGTATACAGTATAAAGTATATATACACGCGTAAACAAGTATAAAGTAAGCCAATCTTTATAGTCCTTTGGTTCTTTTAATATGTCTTGTGAGTGTTCATTCAATTTCTTATTTATTGTGACCAGTCAGGTCACTATACCAGTTTGTTTGATCCTTCGGGCTGGGGCTCGCCACCCAGTTCTGGAAAGGTGACACTGTCTTCTCTGCAGCACTACGGGTTGAATAGTGCGCCCACACAAAAAAATCTAACCAATGCTACATGGGCTATAATGGGGATTTCAGGACTTCACTCTGCTCACAACCGAAGCTCTCGATTTCCAAGTTTCTCAAGCTAGTTTTCAAGCCAATAGCAGAAGCAACCATAGTATGGATCGCTTCTCAAGCCATGTCTGTCTGTCTGATGCAATCTGAGCAGCCTCTGCACTGTGCAGTGGAAGGGGCGGGACAATCATTCTTAATGGCTGACGTTAAATCAGACCAGACCAACTATTGGTTGTTCGGTCCATCACTAAAACATATACTAAAGGTGCATTACACAA